GTTAAAGTGTGGTTGTTGGTCTTGGACACCCAAAGAAACTTTGTTTTTAATCGCTGTTTTTGCCACCTTGGAAAGCTGGGGTGTGACATCTGTGTAGATCTCTCAACTGAAGCAATCATGTCTATCTGATTCTGCAATAGCTTGCTGGGTACAGATGTATTGAATCTAGAGCTTTTGTTCAGTTTTCTGTCAGAAAATAACGAGGTGAGATGATGTTCCTCTCATTTCTTGTCGTATTTGCATAGCTAGCTCTGTGTAGTTGTAGAAGATTGTAGAAGTTCTGCATTCAGTTGTGCTTATTCCTGTTTCTCCTTACTGTAGGAAATTTTTGAAACACCAGCTAAGAGGAAAGAACTGTGAACTCCTGCTGGTGGTGCCAGAGGAGGTGGAAGCACATCAGAGCTGGAGAGCTGACGTGTGACCTGGACCAACTGTCCTCTCACTACAGCTCTGCCCCTTTCTGGAACTCATGATGTCCTGAAACCTGGATAATGGGTGCCCCAACTCTTCTCTTCCGGAACTTCCTTTGTTAGGCTCTTTCCTTTCTTCCTTGGTGCAATAGGGCGGTGGCGTAGGACACTGGGGGCAGTGGGTGGGGGGTACTGAGGGCAGAGCGGAGGAAACTGGAAGCCATTCAACTGATAGAAAAGGTGAATGAGCTGCGTGCTCTTCAGCTAACTAGAAGGTGTTGCTCTCTCTAAAGCTGTGCTTCAGGGCCAGGTTTTTTGGAAGCCTCCAACCTCTCTTTCTCTGTGTTGCCCAAGGCTGTGTATTGTGGCACAGCGTTCCTTTAGAGCTCACTGGGGAGGAGCAGGGGCCAAGCATGTTGTCGCTCCTTCACAAGCCTCTCCCTCCAAAACAAGTTGTCTTGAAGGCGATTGTGACTTGTAAGGGTCTCTCAGGACACACTCAAAACACTAGGAATGGTAGGGTGTTCAGCACGACCCTCTGCTTGGTAGGGATGGTTTGTGCCCAGAGTTAGAGGGGAGGGGTGAGTTTAAAAAATAAAAGAAGTCACCTTTCAGAAAATTCTTTGAGTAACTAGAGGATTCTTCCCCAGTATCTCCAAGGATTTACATGGCCAAGTGGTTGTTTGGCAACGTGTGGCTTGCTAAGGCAGTGCAAAAACAGCAGGCACAAGCTAATGGGGGAGTATCAGGTTTCTGAACTAGAGGCTGAAGTCTGCCTGGGTTTTGTGCTATGTTGGGTTTTAACATATATATATATATATATATTTTTTTTAAACATCTGAAGCTATTTTGGTTTTCTGCATGAGCACCCAGTAGTTTAGGGGCTGCTTGGAAAGAAAAATAAAATCTGAAGGGGTTTTAAGAGGAAATAATTCTCTTCCAGAAGTCTAGCTCATGATCACAAATGCCACGCAGAGTGTCCCAGAAGGAGCTTTCCTACGAGTGAGCTGGTCACAAAAGGAGAAAAAAATGTATATAACAATAACTTGAGGAGGGAAGTCTTATGATAGTCAGCTTCTGCCTCTTGATAGTTATTAGCAGCCAATAGGGGAGATGCAGAGGGTCCACCAGAATCATCAGGCGTTAGAGCGTGGGGCCTAGTGGTTGAATCAGCTTCTCTTTTAGTGTTGGTTGACAAACATTCCATTAATGAGTGAATTGCTTTTTCCTCCTCTTCTTTCCATGGGGAGGAAAAAAGTGATGAAACATGGAGACTCTAAGAGGGATCTTTGTTGTTTCTCTGTCGCTTAGGCCAGCTGTAGCTCAGTTGCTGCTTCCGAGCAGGAGGAAGCACTGAGCTGAGGACAGGGCTCCTTGCGTTCAGCTCTTCCTGGCTGAGCTGCCATTTGCTTCTCTCTTTACGCACGCGGGGGCTCAGCTAAATGGTAACTGCTGGAGAGGGATGGAGCTCCTCAAACGATTCTGCTCTGCCAGTAGGGAAGTCTCGTTCTGGTGGCATTGGGGCTTTCAGAAGGAGGGCTGTGGGCTGTAACTACCTTTTCTCAGTTGCCTGTCTCTTGAGAGCTCAGCAAAGCGTGAGCAGATGTTCGAAGCCAAGCGAGAGACTGCTAACTCACACCTTGTTACCAAGACTGGAGGCAGTGTGACGACAGGACGAGCGTGGTGTTCGCTGAGCCCCGGACATCCCACAAGCACCATTTTGCAGTCTTCTGAGCACAGCCTCCAGAAGTCAAGGGCAAATGGCTCTTATGTTTTAAATACCCAGCGTTTCTAGAACAAGTCCTGTTTCGTAACACATTCCAATGACCAATACCAGCTGGCGGAGTTTTTAAACACTTTACAAGCAGGATGCAAAGCCTGCAGGCATTCTGCTCATGACTTGAAGCCATTTCTTCGAGAGGAAGGGGGAGAAAAAAAAAATCTCTACAGCAACATTTTTCTATGCTGCGTGAAACCGCACTTTGGAGAAACCGTTTGCATGGAAACTGCAAGCCAATAGATCAGTGCACAATATGCAAAGATGTTTTAAAATATTTTGGGGCTACTTTCCTCTCCTTGTATGTCAGCACCTCTCCTGTGGGGGGAAAATAGTGTGATCCAGCTGCTCAGGTAAAGGGAAACTGAATGATCACACCCCTGGGGCAAGCAAGGCTGCTGGACAGAGGGTGGGCAGACCAGTCCAGTCCCACTGCTTGGGAGTGGGAAAAGCCCAAGTTTGTTTTCTTGCTTGTTTGGTTTTTGTTAGAGCCTTGTCTTGGGTTTGTTTACAGAGATGTATTTTGTTTAACCAAAAATGGAAAAGAAAAAAAAAAAACATTTCCATATAAATGTCTTATCACTTCTGTATGTTCAACTGAATTGTTCTGTAACAAAGTATGTAAAGGAAAAATAAACTTTTTTTTTTTTTTTCTTTGGTTATAAAACTGAATGATATTAAGAACCTTCAGCCTTGGTTCCTGGTGCTTGAGGTAGAATGGTGGACAGAAATTGTAGCACCTCTATGAGAACTCCCTTAAATTACCCCAACTGTTTGGAGTCCCCTCCCTGGGAGATCTGTGCATGAACTGGAAGGGCAGAGCCACTGAAACTTCAGTGGAACCAATGCTCCAGGAAAGAAGCATCCTCTTCAAGGAACATCTATTAAAACCACACTGCTCAGGTTGGATTTATTTAATATTCAATACAAAAAAATATGCAACCGAGTTCTGAAATTCTGCTTTATGATGCAGAGGATCAGCACTGATGTGATTCTCATTAACCCCCTCTGCCACTCCCTTGGTACTCACACACGCGCACACACACAATGTTGCAGTGAAAGTATTTGCACACACATCTTCCCAGAGAATTTTTTTCTACAGGGTACAGATACCCTCAACTCTCCTTCTTCCTTTGCTTCATCTGCTGGGAGAGTTGCTTCTTGTTCTGTCACTGATGCTCTCAGGCTTTGAGTTAGCCAGGAAAAGACTTGTGTTTGACTGTTGCTGTCTGAAGTCCAACTTGTGCCCCAAGGTGGTTTTTCTGGGAAGGGAGGAGTCCAGAACAGGAACTCCATGATTTCAAGTCTCTGTAACCGATTACAGTGTACTGATTGAGCAAAAGCAAAGACTCGTGACTTCTACAGGGGAAGAATGCAGACAGGAGCCATCATCAGGTCCAGACAGGGGGCTTCCCCCCTCCCCCACAGTATGAACAGGTCAATGTCCCAAAATATAACCAAAAATAAAAACAGAACCAAAAAAATAAATGCCCCGACCCAACAAATCAACAGTTCAATATATCATCATCTCAAGGTCTTCCCACATGATACAAATCCAACGTGGCTGCAGCAAATTAGATTTTTCCGGGAAGTGGAGGCAGGGCCCCTGGCATGCCCCCAGACAGCCCTGTGTTGGGTCCTAAGAGAATCTGTAAGAGAGAGAGAGATCAGAAGCTTTGAGGATGCACCTCACTATCTGCCAGTAGGACTGGGAGAGCACAGCGAGGAAATGTCCACCCCTGGGAGTAGGCATTTAGCCCTTTCCCTCTCTGCAACAACCACCAGGTTCAGAGCTTCACCTTGCCAAACCCAGACCCGTGCGGATGGATGCAGCTGTGCAGGCCAAGAGGAAGCTGCCTCGTGCTACTCCCCCAGGATGCAATCAGAGCACGCTGTGGGATGAGTGAGCCCACAGCACCAAACGCATCGCCTTTGCTTTTTGTTTCCAGAGCCGCAGCACCAGCTGATCACTGCGGGACTGAGCAGGCAGCCAGAGCCGCATCCAAACTGCAATGAGGGCGGGCGGTGCAGCTCCAGCCTCACCTGTCGCTGCTGCAGCTGCTGCTGTTGCTCCATCTGCAGCTTTTCGGTTTCAAACACGACGGGAAGAACTAAAATCATGAAGGAGGTGGTCCCGATCCACAGAGCTGCTCTAGAGAATCTGCGTGGAACAAAACGCATTAGGAAGACGAATCTCGGCAGCACAGTGGAGCAGCACTTGGATCCCTCCCTCGTTCCTTCTCCCCTTCCTCCAGCCCTTAGTCCGTCTGGAACCATCCGGCCTCCTCCCGGCCGCCGGAAAGCGGATCTCTCCGCAGCCCGCGGGCCTCGCCGCCCCTCACCTGTACATCTTCTGCGCTATCGCCAGCGACAGGTCGAAGGTGGCTCCGGCCGCCGAGCGCACGCTCTCGGGGAACATCTCGGTCAGCCCCCACAGCCGCTCCGCCAGCGTCTCGTCCAGCTGCGGGCGACAGCGCGGCGTCAGGCCTGCGGGCGCCCGACGGGGTCATCCCGCTCGCACGGCCCTCCCGGCCATCCCGGCCCTCCCCGCCACTGCGCTACCTCGTCGTCGTCGTCGTCATCCTCCAGCTCGTCCTCCAACTCCTCGGCCTTGCCCGCGCCGCCCTTGGGCAGCAGCTCCTCCGGGGACAGGGACGCAGCTGCAGCCATCACCACCACCACCAGGGACGGAGCGGGCAGCGAGCCGGCGGAAGGGGAACTGCGGACTGAGCGGCCCCGGAAAAAAGGCGGCGCACACAGCGCCCCCTGACGGCCGGGAGGTGTCACTCCCCAAAATACCACGCTGCCTCAGATTCGGGTTCCAACGAACGTTTTAATGTGAGTTTTCATGTAAACGACGCCGAACGCTCGAGAACAAGCAAGGTCAGCGCTCCGCTCGCCAAAGGCCTTGCACAAAGCCAGGCTGTGAATCCAGGCATCAGCCGTGGCACAGATCTCTGCTCACGGGGAGGGCGGTGCTGCCAGGTTGCTGTGGAGCATGTGTACCTGCGGCTAACAGCCATGAGCGCTAAAAAGTGGTGAAGTGCTCCGGGAACAAACATGAGCGTTGGTGAACAGTGCACAATGTGACGTGCTGGGATGCGGAGGCACCCTTACACTGTACCGATGCAATACTGCAGGTATCTTGTCCCATGGAGCTATCTATATGTGGTACCAATACAGCCCGGACACCCGAGCCAGTCTGTGCCTGCAGGAACAGGGAAAGTCTCCCATGACCTCCTCTCCCTTCTCCCTCAGCCACCGCTTCTGTCATTTCCTCCTCCGGATGTGACTCTTCAGCTCCTCCAGCTCCTTCTCCATCAGGTGGGACTCGGCCGTGGTCTCAGAGAGCTGCAAGGCACAGTGAGCAACAGTAATGTGCTCCTTTAAGCACCACCCTACCAGAAGCTTTTCCAATTACACTGTTTTGTGACACAATCTTTCCAGAGGTGTCACTAAAATTTACAGCCACATCTAGCACCAATGTGAGAAAGCCTTTGCATTTCAGTGAGAGGGAAGCTGAGGCTTCACACTTCACACTTCACCAAGACAGCCCAGAGAACCTGGAGGGCTATACTTCCTGCTAAGTGCAGTGCCACAGTCACAGAAGCTACTTTCCACATTGAAAACATGAAAAGAACATAAAGAAGGAAAACGCTGAAGGAACACCTATTTCTTCAGGCTGACAGAAAGGCCAAATCATTTAGTATACTCAGAGTATACACACATTCTATTTCAGCAAAGAAACTCTACAGATTTTGAACGTGTAAAGCTGAATTTTGGTTAGTTTAGTGCTGGGGAATTCTGTCACCCATAGGCTTACATACAGAATAGATATAAGAGTGCTTGTCAGGCCACAAGGAAGATCCTAGAGCTTTAATCTTCTGTGACCTGACACAGCACAGCACTCCTGTCCAACTCAGCATTGCTAAGTGCTAAGCCAAGCTCTGCCCCTCGTCTTGCCGAGGGAGCAGATGAAGTCAGACCTTTCTCCCACGTTCACTCTGGCACCAAATTTTTTCTTGCACAGTATGGTAAAGCAGGAATGGAGTGCACTCTGCAGTGAGAACCACTTCCTTTGGTGCCCCCAGCACCTTTCACATCAGCATTTCCACCACTGAGGGCAGGCAGAAGTTCAGTACTCACCATGTCCAGCAGAATATCCACCTTCAGACGAAGGAGATTGTTTTCCTCCTCCAATTGCTGGTTGCGTTTGCGCAAGCGCTGCATTTCCCTGCGATCTCCCGTGAAGCTTCCTATTTCTGGAGGAAATAAGAGACCACACGGAGGGCCGTCAGCCAACCGTGACCACTGGAGGCCCCCCGCGCTGCACGGCACTACCTGCCACCCACTGGCCGTTCTCAAACTTGAGGCTCTGCCCCGTGAGGTTCATAGAGGGAGTGCCGTACTCCAGGCCCAGCTCGATCTCGCGGGTGGATCTGTCCAGCTGCAGAGAGAAGCAATTGTTGAGGTTGGAAAGTACCTCTTAAGATCATTTAGTCAGCCATCAACCCATCACCATTAAACCGTGTCCCTCAGTGCCACATCCACAAGGTTGTGGAACACCTCCAGGGACGGTGACTGCACCACCTCTCTGGGCAGCCTGTGCCACTGCAGCACCGCTCTTTCTGGGAAGAAATCTTTCCTAACATCCAACCTGAAACTCCCCTGGCACAACTTGAGGCCATCACCTCCCATCCTATCACTCGTTCCCTAGTTACTCACCACAACGCCTGCAGTTTCTCCCACCCAAACACACTGGAGGTGCCACCCAAGGGCTGGGAGGAACCAGCAGCCCCAACACTCACCAAGTGCAGGTTGGACAGCGAGGCGGCCTTCCGCGGCGGGGTCTTTTTAGGGCTGAAGGTGCTCCCGAAAAGAGGCATCGCTTCCTACCGCCACGTTCCTATCGCCGGGCCGCGTCCCAAGAACACAGTAGGGGCAGAGGCGCGGGCCGTTAGCCCTGCAACGAGTCCCTCCCGAAGGGCCCGCGCTGGGCAGGCAGCGGGCACCGCTTGCGAGAGAAGAGCAGACGAGGAGCTCCCCGCTCCCCTCCCGCCGCGGCGCCCGGCTCAGCCCCGCCGTGCGGGGGCGGCGGCAGCCCTCTCCATCGGGATTCGCCTTCGTTCCGTGGGGGCAGCACCGCTTCGCTGAGCGGCGCCTGCGCCCCGCCGGCCCCCGCCGCTCCGCGCTGCGGGTCCGCCGCGTGGCCCGACGGCGGTTTGCGGCCGGCGCGTCGCCATGGAGACATCTGGGCCCCGCCGCTCCGCCCAGCTGCTGCGCTGAGCATGGGGCCTGGTGGCGGGGTTCCGGGCCTCGCGGGGGGAGTGGGTAGAGTTAGTGCGCTGCTGGGGGTACAGCCGTGATGAGACGGGGCTTCAGCGCTTACCCACACACTGTCCACTTCAGAGAGCGGTAAGGTCTCCCTTGAGCTCCTCTTCTCCAGACTGAACAACCCCAGTTCCCTCAGCTGCTCCCCATCAGACTCATACTCCAGACCCCTCACAGCTCCGCTGCCCTTTTCTGGACACGCTCCAGGGCCTCCATGTCTTTTCTGCAGTGAAGGGCCCAGAACTGAGCACAGCACTCAGGGTGCAGACTCATAGCGCCGTGTTGTCCGTGCACTGAGCAAGGTGAGGGCCGTGGGAATACAGCATTAATATCAGAAAACCAAACTGGCTCATCCAGGGTCTTGCAGGGATTCAAAGCTCAGGTAAGCAGCAGGAAGTGGTGAGAAGAAATTCATCTGCAAAGAAAAAAAACTGAAGGGAGGTGGGGGAGGCCAGTTAGCTCTCACATTCTTACCATAAGAGGCTGCTGTTTTGAGCGCAGAGCACGGGAGATGGGGCAGAGTTCACAGCCTTACTGCTCATCCAAGACAGAGATCACAGAATCATTAAGGTTGGAAAAGACCTCTAAGATCCCCTGGTCCAACGTCCAGCCCACCCCCACCATGCCCACTGACCACGTCCTCAGTGCCACATCCACACGGCTCTGGAACACCTCCAGGGACGGTGACTGCACCACCTCCCTGGGCAGCCTGTGCCACCGCAGCACTGCTCTTCGAGAGAAGAAATTCTTCCTAGTAGCCAACCTAAACCTCCCCCAAACCTCTAGCACTTGTTTTCATTTCTGCCATTTAAAACTTGCTACATTCACTGGTGGGCTAGATGAGGCTGAGTTTAAAACCTAAGCTTTTTTTTCATCTTGAAAATAATTTCATTCCCAATTAATTTATTGAGCAGTCTGACAATTCCTGACACCTCAGTGTTCTGCAGTTCATTATATCCTTTCTTCTAGAATAATAGATAGTGGTATAAATATGTCACCTGTTATAACAGGGCAGACTGGATGGCGCCCTGGGCAGCCTGGTCTAATATTAAATGGGGAGGTTGATGGCCCTGCATGTGGCAGGGGGGTAGGAGTCTCATGATCCTTGAGGTCCCTTCCAACCTGGGACATTCTGTGATTCTGTGATATTGCTGAAGCAAACACTTCTTTTTCAGTTTGTTTGTTTTGTGGTTTTCCATTACGGTCAGCTCCAGGCATGGGAGAACAGCTGCCTCAGCGCATTGCAACTGCTTTCCTCTTACTTGACCGTCACAGGTTGCACCACCAGGAGGCCCTCAAGGCAGCGTGTAGAGAGCTAGGCAGAGAAAACAGCTAGGAAGAGAAATGAGGCGCAGAACTGAATCGTCGTAGGAGCAGCCGGAAACCAATACTTGCTCTATGAATAGAGAATTCCACAGGCATCTGTTAACTGAGTCTTGTAGGGATCCTAATCTCCAACCATCAGTTGTGACTTTGGAGGATATGTGGTTGTAATGGATGTTATCCTTACATTGAATCACCAAGTGATAATCAGAAAAGTGCATGCCTTTGTCTTCTGGATAACAGAGCTTTCAGAAAGTATAGTAATCAAATGGGAGTGCAGTGCTGTTTTGATTTCTGGTCCCTCATTTCCACCCTCTATATGTCACCCAAGGAATATGCCTTCACCTAATTCATATCTGCCTTCTCATGAGACTTTTTGCTTGTTCATGTGTTCTTCAATGTCTTCCACTTATCACAGTGGGTTTCTACTGCCTGCTAGAAGTTCTGAACCAGCAAACTATCTGTTCTCTTTTGCTCATATGACCTTCTTAAAAAATGAGGGAGAAGGAGAAATGTCTTAATTCATTCTGTGCCAAATATTGCACTTCTCTTTAATTCTCTGCATCAATTGAAACTTCGGTTGTTTCTAACTCAAAATAAGGTCTGTAGTCATGTAGTCATTTCTGGTCATGTAGATGGTACAATCAAAGGTGTCTCCAATTCTGATATTGGTAACAATAAAAACTACATGGATTTGTCATTTTTTCTTCCCTTAAATCCTAGGATTTCCCTTTCTTCATGAGTGGAGCCTTATATATCTGCTGTTACTGTTTCAGTACTGATGAATTCAAGACATCTCAGTGTAGTTTCTCTGCTTCTCAGTGTAGTTTCAGGACGGATGATGGGTGAAAGTGGCTTTGTTTCTGTCAGGAAACGCACCTTAAGCAAGCTGGAAATTGAATCATTTGCCCTTCAGTCTCCATCTCTGCTCTCCTTCCCCGAATTCTCTGATACACACATTTATTTACATGAGCTTTTCTTATATATAACTGTTTATATATCCCAGCAGTGTGCACTTGCAGCCTGGGAGGCCAACTATATCCTGGCTGCATTAAAAAAGGGGTTGTCAGCAGGGAGAGGGAGGTGATTGTCCCCCTCTACTCAGCTCTTGTGAGGCCCCATCTGCAGTACTGCGTCCAGGCCTGAAGCCCCCAGTACAGGAAGGACATGGAGCTCCTGGAGCGGGTCCAGAGGAGGGCACCAAGATGATCAGAGGGCTGGAGCACCTCTTCTGTGAGGAAAGGTTGAGGGAATTGGGCTTGTTTAGCTTGGAGAAGACTTCAGGGAGACCTCATTGTGGCCTTCCAATATTTGAAAGGAGCATATCAACAGAGATGGGCTGTTTATGAGAGTTGATAGTGATAGAACAAGGGGGAATGGTTTTAAACGGAGATGGGGGAGGTTTAGGTTAGATATTGGGAGGAATTTTTTCACCCAGAGGGTGGTGATGCACTGGAACAGGTTGCCCAAGGAGGCTGTGGATGCCCCATCCCTGGAGGCATTCAAGGCCAGGCTGGATGTGGCTCTGGGCAGCCTGGTCTGCTGGTTGGCACCCTGCACATAGCAGGGGGTTGAAACTAGATGATCACTGTGATCCTTTTTGACCCAGGCCATTCTATGATTCTGTGATATTCTTATATATACTAACATGTAAAACACATATCCTCTGCTTTAAGAAGGTTCTAAGTTTTGGATTTAAAACTGATGAACTGTGTTTTGTATTCTCTCTTCCCCACATTCCTTCAAGATGATGAGTTGCTGGGAGAAGACTAATGAGCACTGCCCACAAGAATGCAGTGTAAAAGAATGCTCATTGATATGACATGGGCAAAACAATACTTGAATGTGACTTATGCACCAAGTGCCTGAATAATTTGAAGAATCTCATATTTAGCATTATTGGGAGGGAAGGGTGTTGCATTTAGAAGCTGGTTCCCAGCTCACAGATGTAGGTAATTCAGTTCATTTTGGGTGTAAAAGCTGGTGAAACTCAGCCTACAAGTTTAAATCTTGTCAGCCCAAGAGAAAGTGAAGCTGTTGCCATAGGTCAGCAGGCAGGCTGTTTCCACAATTCGTTCATTCATTATCTGCTGAAGTAATGTGCTACTTCAGTTCCAAAGTTAAACAACTGGCAGCGATAAGTTCTTGTCAGGAATCCTGCCAAGCCTTGTGCAGGACACGGGAAAGCTTGTCATCTGAGTTGAGATAGGTGAGCCAGTGCTCAGCAGCGTGCAAGGAACAATGGTCAAGACAATAAAAAAATAAATCAAACTAGCAGTTTCCAAAACGGCTTCCTGATTTGCTATTCAGACACCTAGACAAGCATCTACATTTTCAGAAATGCTCCATAATAAGCATTTATCTTGCTGCCAATGTGAGTGCCTGCCACTTAAGGCTTGACTGTTTAATTACGAGCCTCCAATTTCATTCTTGTTTTGAAATCTTGGGACCCGAATGGTGCGTATGATGGACAAACGCAAGAGCGTTCCTCCTGTGCCTGGACACAGAATAGCAAACCTCTTTAAAATGCCTGATAGCAATACATAGTTTTCATCAGATGTATTTTTGTTAATGCTCTAGAAGAAAGAAAGATCTTGCTATTTGTCACGCAGAGAAAGGGAAAGTTCTAAGCGCAGGCAGCAAATAAGTAAGGCTGAAAGAGAAAAGTAAATGGTGGCTATTTGGACAAAGCATCACGGAAAGAAATGACGGGAGGAATGGTAGTATTAAATGTACACAGAGGCTGCACTGGGTAAGGGGCTAGAAATGCTGAACCTGGTACAGAAGCCACTGAGAACATTCAAAGTTGGTAATGATAGCCATTTATTTCTCTATAAATGCTTTGAATGTAAGCTGAATTGAATCATTCTTAAATTGAATTTCAGGACGTGTGTATTGCAAAGTATATTGAAGAAGTGGGGAAAAAATGGGTGGTGAGCCTTAAGGTCTGCCCACTGTGTTCCTACTCCTATAAAGAAAGCTCTCAAGACAGCAAGTTGTTCTCCTTAAAATCTGAAATGAAGTATGTCAGGCATTTTCTTTTATATTCAGTCTCATTGCAGAGGATCCTTACTTTCAGTGCAATGCACAGAATTCAGTCAGCTTGCATCTTGCTGATTTCTACACATTTTTATAATGAAGACTTTTGCCGCCATGCCTGCCAGCAAGTGGAAGCAACAACTTCTGTTTGTTTCTCTTCACCAAGCTACATACTTGAGTGCTTTCTTTTCTTTTTCATTTTATGTAACATGCACCGTTACAGCAATTCTGCCAGCCTCTAGATTCCTTTTATTCTTTGGAATGCCTTTGTGCATCTTTAAATATCATCCAAGAGAACTCCATACTGCCAGCACATCAGTTTGTCTCACCACAGCCAGCATCTTGCCACTTGCATCAGTGTTGGAAGAAGACCCCTTACAGGTACTGCTTTGTTACTGCAGAGTGGCGGGGGGAAATGTGCTTTACTGAGTAACTGTGCAGGGAATGGATATTTGGGAAGGGCTGACTGCTGGTGCCACTTTTCTTCCCAGGCCTACATGTTGAAACTGGGAATATGAGCATGTTGGGAGGCATTAATTTTATTAAAGTAATTCATGGAGCCAAAAAATTTTCGGGGAAGCTATCTCCAAACTTGCTTTTGTTAGAGACAGCTGACTTCAGCAGTGGTTGGGTGTTTTATGCAATAATTCAATAAGTTGCTTTTTTCTTTTTTTACTAGATAAGGACATTACCCTGCTATCATAGCTATTTTCCAAGCCTGTAATTGCTTTCTACCACCCTGCAATTTCTCTAGCAATTTCAGCCAGGAGAGGAGGCTTTTATTCTTTTCACATGACTGTGGTGTGGTGCTGCCAACACTGGTGGATGCTGTATTTTGCCCTAGAAACAGTCATGTCTCACTTGTGGATGAGTTAACCTCTTTAAAGAGAATGCATGAAAATTAAGGCATTTATCTCACCACTGTGGTAGATGACTCAAATATTTTTTCTCCCTTCCTTTTTCTCTTGAAAGAACTACAACATGGACAAGTTTCTAGCAATTGCCAGCTTCATCAAACAAGCAAAGTCTTCCAAGTCCAACAAACAAAATTTAAAACAATGAATCTTCCAGTTATAGAATGAGGAAAAGGTAAAATATTATTTGTTTTACTAAGACTTTGCAGGCTTGCTTTGCTACATCACATCCTCCCCATAAGGATGGTGCATGTACATACATACATGGATTTGTTTGTTGGTCCTGGATAGCTGAGACTCATCAGAGCAGCTAGAAGGTATATATCCATTTGTGAGTGTCACATTAGTGCAAATACTTCCTTAGGTACTGGATTCACAGTCCTGTGCTGCTAGATGAAAGGAATGCAGTCTGCTGGCATTTGTTTCAAACCTCCAGGCAGTGTCAATATATGCTGAAATCATGACCGAAATAGCACCTCATCCTAGAGAGGTGATGATATGGAGAAGGATGGAAGATGTTGTAGATGAGTGAATTTTTCATAGCTGATCTTCTTGTTGGCATCCAAGTCTACTTTGCAATACACTAGCAATTCCTAAAGGCATTTGCTCACCTACAGGGAGTACTGCAGTGGCCTTGCTTTGTACTTTCTAGTGCTGCTTCTTTGTCAGCTTATCCCCACAGATTCTCTCCCGTAGCCAGTAACATTCCTTCCTTGTTCCCTGCTAGAACCTTCCATCACATCCAGAAGTACAGCTGAGAGTACCTTCTTCCATTCTCTGGATGGGGGTCCGGTAAGAGAGCTTACACAACTTATGTTGTCTTCAAATTATTGATAGATGCAGATTCTAAACTCTGGTGCTTTGCATATATTTTTTAGTCTCAAGATGGTGATAGTTTGACATCTGTCGTACTTCTATGCTCCTCAACAGGTTTTTAGCGTTTCCTCTTTAGGAATCCTAATAGTGTTGGTGACTGTATACTTCATTCTTACTGCAGTAGTGCCTGGAATTTCCTTCTGCCTTTTTTTCTATCAAATATACTGTATGGGAACTGCTGAGTCACGGCCTGAACCTCTGATTGATCACCTGAGGCGAGCCATGAGTCAGCCAGAGGAGCACAGCTGAAGGCAATTCACCTGTGCTGCTGGAAGGGGTGGAGCCTGGCTGCACTCCTCCTAGACCTATTGAAGAGCTGGCTGCCAGTGGGGAAGGATCTCTTCTGGAGATCAGCTCTCTTGGTGTTTTGTGGTGAGCCCAGCTGAAGGGTAAGCTCTTCCACTTATCTTCTTTTTGTTATCGTTGTCTACTTTGCCTACCTCTCTTGATTACATTGTGATTATAACATCTTGATATCTACTGATTATACAACTATATTGTGATTATAACATCTTGATATCTATTGATTATACATATACGTAACTTCCTTCTGAAGCAACAGACAGGCAAATCCTCTGCCCAGGTAGTTCAGTCTCATGAACCAATTTGCAGGTGCTTTTAACTTTAGATAGAGTTCCTTCAAGGCCGCTCAATCATTCCAAACAATGCCTGGGATGAAGGATTGTTGTTATTCTCATCAGCTTCTTATCTCCAGTTTGCTTTTGCTGCCTTGGCACTGTGCTGGTGGGAATGTGCTCAGTGGCTGTTCACTTAAAAACCCCTTATGGCTGCAGTTAAAATACCGAATGCTGTTTTTCCAGTTGAACATATGAGAGTCACTGTGTGGTCTGCTACCCATCTCCTTGACCTAAGAGCAGAAGTCATGTGTGAAATTTGTTCTTGGAAGCTTTGACCCTTTCCTCTATGTTGGATTGTCCGGCCATTAGAGCAGAAAGCACTGCCTTAATAATCCAGTAGGAAAGGAACACAACAAGAGGGGCAGATAAGCAGAAAGAAAGATTGCAGAGGGAAGTATTGGGGTGTATTGAACCCAGTGAGAGCTGTGCACCTGTGCTGAGTTCCAGGAGAAAAAAAGTTGCTTATCATTCATAATCAGTAACTCAGCAGAAAACACCAAGAGAGAAGAGCCTGAAAGGTTACTGTGTGATACAGAGAAAATGTTTAGGTATAAACACGTTTCCAGTATGGCAGGCAAAGAAACTGATAATCCAAGGAAGGAGGAGCAAGGAGTTAAACATCAGAATCACCGCGTTAATCATTCACTGAAGTTCAAATTGTGAGACTGCAGCAAATTTTTACCTGAACCATTTGCAAAATTGAGGTTTTATGTGTAGCAAAATCAAGGAAACACCATATTATAAGGCTAACTACAACCCTTTTGAGAGTTCTAACTGTTGTTCTAAAGTAAAAATAACTGTGATAAGGCAGGTGATGTCTATCCAAGCTTTTAAATTTGAAAAGAAACTGATCATGATCTCTTCCTGCCACTGGCCTGGCAAACATACACAATACAAATATACAAATGGAGCAAGATGTATTTGTTTCTGTGGTTTACATGCAAACTCACTTGCAGAAGCAGCAGCAAAGCAGAGAGTAGGAAAGTGGCCAAAAAGAAGAGCACATCCAGTTCTGCAGGGTGGCTGGTTTAAAAAAAAAAAAAAAAAAAAGCTATCACAAGCTCAGAAGCTGAGCAAGAAAACACTAACTTTTCCAAACTTGCTAAGTGCATGGAAGCACTGTGACAATTCTTAGCTTTTTGAGTTGATGTTCTTCAGTTTGGATTTATTTCTTTTTTCTTTTTTTTTTTTAAGAAGAAATGTCTCTCGTGCCAGTGCTGAACCTCCTCCAAATATGACTGCAAAATGTTTTGCTTGCAAAATGCCATTTATCGATGTGAGCAGTGAAGTCTCCTGTAACTTGGAAATTATCTATTTTCTATTAGCTGCACATTAAATACATTCTTGTTTCTGAAGCATGCCAATGAAAATGCTGCCCTCAGTACAAAACAGAGCAGTGCACTCAAAGACATTATTCAATCTACTTGACAACAGAAGCACTCAGCTTCTGTGAGCTGTAATATATTAGAGGAGAAAAGGAAAACATTCAATTAATTATACCTTTTTTAGCTGTAACACTGAAAACTGCTCTTCCGTGTTCTGTGGATAAAGCTGCTCTGCTTTGAGTCTAATTTAGATTAATTCTCAATGCTGATGTGTGAATAAATTAGAGAAGCATTGACTTTTTTTGGCCATAGCAGCTAAGACAATATTTGCAGTACTTCCAGCTTGTTTGTATTAGGAGACAGAATGTCTTTGCTGTAAAGAATACACACAGTCCTGTGTCCTGCAGCATGGCAGTTTCATCTATGAGCAGTTTTGTTTTAACTCTTTCTGGGGTCCAGTCTGCTTAAGTCAAGTTTTCTGTCTCTTTTTGTTTTTTCTAAAGAGCTCATTCTGTTGCTTCTCTCTCCTTTCCTGTCTCACGCACCATCATATACAGCTCCCACCAGGCAAATTCTCCCTCCTGTGTTTCACTTCCAGAGCATTCTCTAAAGGAACAACAGATGTCCATCAAATGACAAAATTGATCCAACCTTGAACCAAAGCAATTTCTCCTGACTCTCTTCCCCACCCCACTAGCTGCCTGGTCCCATCTTGACTTTATTTACTGTTCAGATAAGCACCAGAGTGAATTCAAGGAGTAGAAATGCAAAGCCACTTATATAAAGCAGAGCATGACAAATGCCCAGCTGGCTCAGAGCAGAGCTGTGTCTGAGGGCTGCAGCAGCCATGCTGGGGAGAGCGTGCCGGTCTGGCCATGCAATGTTCCACTCAGGCCCAGAGCTTGGATGGTGGTTTCCTATTTCATCCGTGAGCAGAATATTTAGGCAATTCTGCCTTTTTAGTTGAGTGAAATGAAGATAATTCGCCTACAGACTTGAACTGGGTCTGTGACTGACCTTCAATTCAAATGCAGGCTTGTCAGTGGCATTGTTACTGACTGTGAAGGCTGATCATAATTTCATGGTAAATAAATCAGGATGAAGAAAGCAGCAGTAATTTTTTTCTGACCTTGGAGGCTAATTCAAATGACCAAAGATGTCTGCAACTACGCTTCCCCCTAGCTACATATGTGGGCAGTTTTATTCCATAATCAGTCTGCTTTCCCTGGTTATCTTTTCCACAAGCTTTATAAAGTTGATTGAATCAATGTAGAACAACATGCACTTTCTCCAGAACAAAGATCTGTGTGTGTGGAGTTAGATAAGAACAGTTATTTTGGAATTTGCTACAGCTGTTTAGAAAGCTCTCCTAGTGTTATAAAGACCCGTGTCTCCCAAATTAGTTATTTCATGATTCAGAGTAACATATTTCCCCAACTGCATTTTGTTATAGCAATTGAGTGTGTGTGTGTGTGTGTGTGTGCAGAACTGTGTGTATGTAAAGCTGATAACGTATTGTTACTGTAATAGAATCTTAAGTTTAATGTTGATTGAGTATTGTGCTTGTCTAACCTTATGAATATATAAGTAGTAGGTGTTCTGTATTGCATAGGCAGAGTGCATGTGCATTTAATGTATGAACACAGTGAAGAAAATGGCACTGTTGTGTTTGGTTGGTGGAAACTTCCTTGGAGCACCCAGGTCTGAACAAAAAGAAATGTCTCTCCTGAGTGTGTGGGAATTGGCTCATTGCACACCAAGTAATGAATCTCCTTTACAGACAACATCATGCATATGTGAAGCCAAGAATGTCTTGTTAGTAAAATAGAAAAGGTGTAATGTTTACTGACCCAGATATAACTTAGAAAAAGGGAAAGAATAATGATGCAGTGAAAATACCTCTATAAAACTGAAGCACACGCACACGGTTCTTGGTTTCTGCTCCTTTTCCCTGTATTTCTCTCTCCCTTCCACTACTTCTGTGGGTTGTAAGGTTGGTGGTTTCATTCTGGTACTTGTGGGAGAAGTGCTAAAGAGCTGTCAGTATCTGGAGTCTTTCACTGGGAGGAATATGATGTTCATGTTGGTGGTTTCTTCCTCACTCAAGGATTCACCTGGTGTCCTTTTTATGTTTGCTAGCACACATTTATACCCTTACTCTCTGGTCTGCATCTCCACGTTATGCCTGATTTGGCTATGCGTGGTGCACATGACATATATTAGATACTATTTCTTTGTTACCCTAAAACCAGCTGGGCAGCTCCAGATTTGCACTTATTTTATCACTGATGAGCTCTTTATAGCCATCAAGTTCCTTTTGTCAAGCCCATGTCCTGCCTGTTATCATCACTTGCCTGTGCTCCTCTATACCACATCATGTCCACAGTTCTTAAGGTCTCTGCTGTCGCACCAGGCCTGTGTTTCTCTACACTCCATCACTGTGCTAGCTGTAAATCTCTCATTCTACATAATAACCATTTGTTATTGCTTTTTTTTTTTTTAATTTTTATTTTTAATGAAAGAATGGCTGTACAACACAGATAAACAGAAGTAAAACAAATTAGCCAGAGACACCTGGTCATTTATAGAAGCTGCTATCCCAGCTAACTGAGTAAAATGAGGTTACAGAAGGGTCAAGCAAAGCTCAGAGAAAGCAAGCCTGACAAGCCTCAGCCCTGAGGCCTTAGAAATTCACTGTAATAACTGGGAATGGCAATACCAGAGAACTACATGGTTACAATGTTGTAGCCCCAAAAGAGGAGAGCAGGTAAGAGCAAGCTGTGCACACTAATGCATCAGTATGGAGCAATTATTTTAGAGCTGGCTGTGCTGGCATTTTGTTTCTTTTGCAGTAGAAGACACAAGAATGCAAGAATTAGTCACGGTTGTTTGATCTTTTAAAACTAGAAGTTAGCTTAAAGTATATAGCACACTTTTACAAACAAAATGGCATTACCAAGTGAAAGATGGAGTTCAGGGATGATGGCAAGAATAGTCAGAAGCCAGGACCAGAAATTATCTGGTTCTTTCTCCAAAAGAACCCTCACAACCGTCTAGTAAAACAAAGTCCAGTTTCCCCAGGCAAGCAAACATCCTCCCAGTTCAGCTGATTCAGCTTTGAACTAGATAATCTCTTCTTGACCCTTTCAGCCCTATTGTTGCCTTTTACTGGTTTGCTTTTCATATCTTAAAAGTACTCATTTTCAGAAGGGAAAGCTTTACTTACTTATTCTGTCTTTTTGATGGACTCTGCATATGATAAATTGGTGCATGTCTCCAGAAAGGCTGTTAACTGGGATTAGGTTTTGCAAAACTTAAAAGTGGCCTCCTTTCTTCTAGTCTTCCTTTTATACTTATTTTTTTTCATGACATCCTTTATCACATATTAAGAATTATCTATTTTATAATAAGATTTTGAAATCATTACAAAGAAAAGGAAGCTTTAGTGCTTAGACTGTTATCATCTAATGTCTTTATATAGTTCATATACTTAAAGATTATTTCTTCTTGATGCAGAAAAGTAACTGCATGTGTTCACTCATCTGCGTTTGTTTGTTTGCTTTAATGAATAAATTGTCTCTGGCATCTTTTCTTCTCCAGTCACATCCATCCTGATGTGGCCCTGCATTCACCTGGCATCTCTTTAATATTAATGGCACAGACATGTAATCCATCATTTCCTCAGGAGGCTGAATCTTCCTGGGCTATATTCTTCAAGGCCAAATATCAGATTATTCTGTCCTGTGTAGGTACAGGCGTACTGCAAGCCTGAAAGTTCAGAAAGGGCATTTGTTTATGTATTTGACTCTCTGAATTTGATCTGTATAGACCTAAATAAAACACAGAAGCAAGCAGTATAAGAACCACATTATTTCCCCCCTGTAACCATGGATTAAAACATTTTTTTAAGATGACAAAATCAGCTGAATATTTTTTATGTATTTTGTGGCAGTGGTTTAACTTGAGTTTTGCCTTGTTGGAGCTGGAACAATCTCAAATGAAAGGAAATGCAGATGACACCTCACCAACGCCCAGTTGTAGGTTCACGGTGAGGATGGCAGTAATGGGATGCGATGGGAATGCCTTGACTTGCATGGCATGCAAGCCTGCTGTGTTAGGTGATGGAGTGTGTGGAGACATTGCATTGGACTGAGTGCCCCCTCAGTAGGTTTGCAGATAACACAAGCTGGGAGAAAGTGTCAATCTGCCTGAGGGTAGGAAGGCCCTACAGTGGAATCTGAGCAGGCTGGATCAATGGACTGAGGCCAACTGTAAGAGCTTCAATAAGATCACGTGTGGAGTCTTGAGCTTCGTTCACAGCAACCCCATGGATTGCTACAGGCTTGAGCCTGAGTGGCTTGAAAGCTATGCGGGTATGGAGGAAAAGGATCTGGGGATGTTAGTTGACAGCCAGCTGAACATGAGCCAGCAGTGTGCCCAGGTGGCCAAGAAGGCCAATGGCATCCAGGCTTGTATCAGCAATAGTGCAGCCAGCAGGAGCAGGGAGGTGACCGTCCCTCTGTACTCAGCTCTGGTGAGGCTGCACCTTGAGTGCTGTGTTTAGTTCTGGGCCCCTGACTGTAAGAAAGACATGGAGGCCCTGGAGTGTGTCCAGAGAAGGGCAGCAGAGCTGTGAGGGGTCTGGAGCACGAGTCTGATGGGGAGCGGCTGGAGGAACTGGGGATGTTCAGTCTGGAGAAGAGGAGGCTCAGAGGAGACCTTATTGCTCTCTACAGTGACTTGAAAGAAGGTTGTGATGAGGTGGGGGTCAGCCTCTTCTCCCAGGTAACAGTGACAGGATGAGAGGGAATGGCCTCAAGTTGCACCAGGGGAGGTTCAGCCTGAACATTAGGAAGCATTTCTTCCCAGGAAAAGCGGTGCTGCAGTGGCACCAGCTGTCCCTGGAGGTATTCCAGAGCCGTGTGGACGTGGCACTGAGGGACATGGTTAGTGGGCATGGTGGGGATGGGCTCACGGCTGGACTAGGTGAAATTAGAGGTCTTTTCCAACTGAAATGATTCTGTGATTCTTTAACATCTGCTGGGAGCCAGGTGAACAGTTAGTGATCCCAGCTCTTTGAGGATATTGGGGGGAATCTGTTATCCAAAATTGCACTTTGGATTGGAAGATGGTCTTCAGACTCTGTGCGTTCATTGGCTCTTCCAAGAAGAGGAAATGTGAGGGAATCATAGAATTGTTTGAATTGGAAAGAAACCCGAAAGGCCATCCAGTCCAATTCCCCTGCAATGAACAGGGACACCCACAGCTCGATCAGGGTGCTCAGAGCCCCTCCAGCCTGAGCTTGGATGTCTCCAGGGATGGGGATCCAGCACTACTTTGGGCAACCTGCTCAGCAGTCTGTTTACACATGCATTAGCTGTTGTGGGGCCACTTAGCGGCACCCAAAAGATCACTCCCTGCATGTGCGCTCGGTCCTGGAGTAATAGCACGCTTCTGTGAAGGGATTGATCTTTAGGCTAAAGGACTGCCTGCCGAAGTGCTCTTCTGGAACAGCTCTTGTGGAATAATGCCGTTTTCAAAAGCTGTGCCAGCCAGTTCCTCGCTGCAGACTGAGCCTTAGGCATTCAGGATCCAGGCACGGACATAAACTGCTCGATTTCTCAAGCACCCGCAGTGCATGCGCTCAGCGTTGCGTTGCGGAGGGACGGCGAGGAAGCGGGCTCCGCCATCGCCCTCATTCTCTGGGCGGGAAAGGCGGGGCGCTGCCTCAGGAGGAGGCGCTCAGGGCGGTGCTGGGGCTGAGGGTGGGTCCGGGGATGTGGTGATTCAATCGGGTAATGCCGGTCAGCCACGGGGTGGGGGAGCGGACAGGGCGTTTTTCAGCTTGTAACAGAGGCCCAAGCTCGGCCCCAGTCGAGTGGGCTGCAATGTTTCTGTCAGCTCACGAATCGTTTGTTAAACCCAGCATGGTGTGACCAGGACGAGTGCCTGTCACACAGCCCATGTCTGCTCAGCGCAGTGCAGCAGGCCGACTTTGCTCATGTACCCAACAAATAGCTCCTAGGGCACCCAAAAACGGTTGTATTTCCTCACAAAGATCCTTACTTCTTAATGGATTTGCCGTGTTCACACACTTCCAGCCTTGTATCTGGTTTTCTGCAGGCTGTGACGACTGGAACGCTCTGAGCCTTCACTGCACCAGCAACGGGAGGAGGATTTGGCTCATCACTAAAGCTTCAATTAGAGAGTGGTATAATTGCTCTGTTGTTCCTCCTAGTCTGCAGGAAGGCACAGGTTTGAGGCTGCCTGGTTCTTCTGGGGGGTGTCAGTTGCCTCAGGGTGAGGAATAGGAGGGAGAAACTGTGCTCAGAGTGCAGGTTCCAACCCCCCTGACACAGGCAGGGCCAACAACCTCCACATTTCATACTAGACCAGGTTGCCCAAGGTTCCATCCAACCTGGGTTTGAACACCTCCAGGGATGGGGCACCCACAGCCCCTCTGGGCAGCCTGTGCCAGAGCCTCACCACTCTCTCTGTGCGGAAATTCCCCCTGACATCTAATCAAAACCTTCCCTCACTGAGCTTAAAATCATTCCCCCTTGCCCTATCACTGTCTACCGAAGTAAGAAGTTGATTCCCCTCCTGTTTATAATCCCCTTTTAAATACAGGAAGGCTGCAATGCAAAAAAACCCATATCCTGACACTATCAGAAACAGCTAATTTTATAGGAATGTTTCCACTAAATATTAACAAAAGTGATTGCATCATATACTCACTTCAAAACCCAAATAAGATCATCTTAAAATTATATTTTCTTTCTCACTTTTCCCATCTTCTGTATATACAAGATTGACAGGCTGTGAGAGCTGGAGCTGTTCAGCCTTGAGAAGATAAGGCTCTGGGGAGATCTGAGAGTGGAGAGCGGCCTTTCAGTATCCAAAGGGGGCTGTGAGAAGGGGACAGACTTTAGCGGGGTCTGTTGGGATAAGACATGGAGAAATACTTTCAGACTGAAAGTTTTAGACTGGTTATAAGGAAAAAGCATTTTACAGCAAGGGTGGTGAGGCAGTGAAACAGGTTTCCCAGAGAGGTGATGGATGTCCCCTTCTAGGAGGCATCCAAGGTCAGGCTGGAGGGGCTCTGAGCACCCTGATCTGTCTGTAGGTGTCCCTGTTCATTGCAGGGGAGGTGGACTAGATGATCTTTAAGGATCCCCTCCAAGTGATATGATTCTGTGAACATGTGATTCTGTGATTCCTGTCAACAAATTATGCAGACCTTCTGTATCTATTTGAAAGCTGGGGAAAAAAAAAAAAAAAGCTATTTGCAGCAATTTATTCTAAATTATCTCATCCTCTGTTAAATGTAGCTCATCTTGTAGGTTCACAGAAAACATCATATTCTTTTCATGGACTTTATTAAGGAGGATGAGTAAGCAAACATATACAATCTTCTGGATGAGGCACTTTACAAAACTAGAGCAATGAAGGCAAGCTGACAGTTAAGACAGAAGCAGCCTAACAATTTACAAAATTACAAAACTGGTACAGCAGGTTATGAAATCATAAGGAACTGTTCATTTTTCCTGCTTTCAAATAACTTAGAGGCAATATTGTCCTTTTTATCTGACAATGCTACTGCTTATGGCAATAAATTCTACTAATGATAAATCATTTAAAATGTCCCCACACTGGGACCCAAGATTCTTACAGGGGAATGAGTTCTGTTTTCTTAACACCAGTTAAACCTTTTCTAGACAAATTACTTCACTGGAGAGTAGGTTTTCTCCTTTTGGAGAAAGAGAGGAATGCAGAATCCCAGTTTAAATCCATATGTGATGACAAACTTAAAGTTTGTGCAGTTTGAGGTCATTTTAAAAGTCCTTTTACAGTTACCTGCACATTTATTCCGGTCCCAGTACTGTCTTTGCTTGCTTTTTTCAGTACCAATTGATACTTTATTGCCTGCTCTTTCACAATGAAGGCCATGGAGGATCAAGTAGTCCAAGAAGAATCTGGATACCAGGATGATGAGGTAAATTTATGGTTCTTTGAAAAACAGGTACAGCAGATGTCTGAAGGTATTGTTACAGTGTACTGAAGCCCACAGAGAGACAGGCAGTCCCCAAAAACCACCAACAGGAAGTTCAATTCATTTAACATTTTGTTGTAGTCTAACACCAAGAAAATCTCATTGTCTCTGTACAGTTGTGTTCTTCAGATGCTCTTCACTAACCTTTCCAAAGCTATGCACAGTTTTTAATGGAATTATCATTATTGCTTTACATCTCGTACTTCGATATTAAATGTCGGGGGATTATCAGTTAATTTGAAGCTTTCAAGGAAAAGCCAGAAAGTTCTTCAGCCAGAAAAGGCTGAAGAACAGTGGATGAAAGAGTCAAGACGTGATCCTAACGCAAGTTTATTAATACAGCAGAGTTACTTGCCTGTGAAGATATATTTGATGAAGAAAGTGGTAGGAAATGTGTAGGTGTTCTTGGCTTACTCTGGGTTTTCTTATTTTGGTAGTTCAACAAGACGTGTTATTAGGGAAAACCATTTCAAGGCTTACAAATTTGAAGCACAGAGTGAGCTAGATATAATTTTAAGAAAAATAAAAATCTATTTTCAATTTTTTTGTTTTATTTTATTTTATTTTTAGGAATCCTTTTTTCAGGACATTGATCTGCTACAAAAGCATGGGATTGTAAGTATTGCCAGTGACTTATCTGCACATCATTGTCCATGTAAATTTCTCCTCACAAATAATTCTAAATCAGTCATGTGAAGACAAATTTTGCCCTTGGTGATAAGACAGGCTTTCAAAATATCTCGTTCTCACTAGATTCCTACATAAAGTGTCAAGATACTCAAAATATTTAGCACCCAGTACTTCTTGAAAAGCCAACTAGCTGCTAACTTATATTAAAACCACATAGTAGATCACTTCCTATTCCTGCCAGTCTTTGTAATTATACCTGCATTTTTGGTTCCCTTGAAATTACACTGTGGCAGTTGTTGCTAAATTATTTTTGGAAGGCTCTTTAAGGGAGTAGAGTGGGAGTGAACAAACTGTTAATAGCTGGAGAAGTAAGTGGAGAGTTTTCATCAAATATGAATTGTTCTCATCATGAACATTACTGTCACATAAGCATTAGCTTTTTCTTGGATTACTGTTATTATATATTTACCTTGGAGGCTGATTCATGGGTCAGAATGTTCAGTGTTAGAAAAGCAGAATAAGAAGTTTGGTTTGCTGAAGTAATTTAAGTTAAATGACTGTAGATGGATACAGACAGGGCTGACAGACACAATGGGCCAGCATTATCCAGCATTACAGTTACTGCACTCAGCATGTCAGCAGTGTAACTGTTGTTCACTTTCTTATTGACAACTCATTGTCATGGTTTTAAAGAGTTCTGGAGAGGATAATGAAGTAGTGAGCTGTAACAACGGTATAGGATAAGAAAGATACACAAATTCTCATGTTAAAAAATTAAAATTAGCCCAAAGAGGCTGACCTCGTGAGCTGGAAGAGAGCTGTATAAGCTTGTCGATATCGAACGAGGCACAGAATGCAGAAAAATGTTGCTAAGTTATGGAAAATCTTGGAAATAAGGAGTAGTGACTTAGACTGTTCTTCGTCATTCTGTTTTTGGAGACAGATCTGGCTTACTGAAAGTCTCCTGCTCCTTTTCTATTATTTTTCTTCTCCCATCCAAGTGTTTATTCCTACTTCTTAGGGGAAGATGTTATTCTCATCTGTGCCAGTGAGCATATGATGACCTATACCTATTAATTTCACTTGCTTAAAGTAGTTTTTAGGGTTCTAGATCTTTTTTCCCCCAGAGGGATAGGGAGAAAAGTATTTAGTAGATGTGTCAGCACAGCCACAAAGAGTCAGATTTGCAGAACCCAGGCTGGGGTTTGATGTTCTAAAGTGTTTGATAGGAATCAAGTTTCTGTGATCCCAGTGCCACTGCTGAGTTCCTGCCCTCAGGCATGTGCTCCTGCTTCATCTGTCGTAGCCACACTGCAAACTGCATCTGTAAATCAATTCATGCAAAAAGCATGACAACAAAAAATATGATCTGTGTAGTTTGTTTGTTTGTTCATTTCAATTCTTGCTATGCTCCTGTTTCCATCTCAGAGAAGTACAACTAGGGCAGAGATGCTACGCCAGAAGGTTGGGAGGGTCAGGATAAGCAGGTGGTGTAAGGGGGCAGCTGTGTCCGTGTGTTCAGCCAGGACAACTGCTGAATGCTTCGTGGTATCAACTAGAAGAAGAGAATTCTAGCACTTTGGCTGGTAAACAAACAATTGGTAAAAGATGTATCTGGGAAGCAGAGAAGAAGAACTTCTGTGACCAGATCTGCTGCTCAGGGAATTGTAATGTGGAGCAGCCCTAAGTTTGATGAGATCAGTAAGACAAGGCCACTGAGAAATGAGGAAGTCGAAGAGTGAGTTTTGGCCTAGAAAAATGGTCTTTGCAGCAGAAGTCTATTGTCTTAATATGAAAAACACTACATGAACAACAACTCAATATTGTTTTTGTTTTGTTTTTTAATTACTGATTTTTGGTGTTTTGTTGTTTTTTTTTTTTTTGGGTGAAAGTGTCATTTCCATTTGTGATTGATTTTACCTCACCTATCCCTCTTAATGTAATAGTCAAAAATATCTCACAGGATGAAAAGTAAGCTTCCCAGTGACCACAATTAATTCTTTCCATAGCCCCCCTCCCATCTTAAGTCTCTTATATCCACGCACTAGATACATAAATGATTCATCCAGCTCATAGTGTGGTTTGTTTGTTTGTTCTTTTAAATAAATAACTTGGCTGGAGATGGTAAATTGCAGTATTACCCCCAGCCTTTCCCATGGTATGTTTCTTGTGAGCTATTTGTTCCTTGCCTTTACATTTCAGTGATATCAGATTTCTGATGTGAGGTGGGAGGAGGCAAAACACGCCTGCAGGGTGCTGAATTGAGTCATGCTGTATCCAATGAATTAAAAACTCTAGTAAACCCATTCCAGATGCAAGTGCCTGTTGGATCTGGCAGGTTAGGTGTGTTTTGCTTTGGACTTGCTGTCAACATGCAGGAACGTCACAGAGGTTAGAGTCAGCATCCTACCACCTATGCAAGTCAGCTCCCAGCTGTGATCAGATTACCTGGTTTACAGATTATCTGTGCAAGGGGAACAAGGACAGATTGAGTTTGACAGGGTTTTTTAGGTTAGACTCTACAACACCTGAAATAATCCGTTCTATTTCTTTACTATTAGCTTGGATCTAGAAAGACCAGCCCTGAACAGGGACAGGCTGAGCACAGCCAGACCCAGCATAGCCTGCACCGTGATCCTCACACTGATGTGACTCAAAGTTTTCTGATGTTTGGGTGTCACAAACTACATCAGGAAGAGTTTGCTTTGTAAATACGTTTCTTTATGAAAATATACGTGCAGATGAGTGTATAATAAAGTGTTTCAAAGGTTTAATTTGCCAACTGGTTGCTATCTGTCACAAGTACTCATAGAAAGGAACTTTCTTTGCAGAACATGGCAGATATTAAAAAACTGAAGTCAGTTGGGATCTGCACTATCAAAGGAATCCAGATGACAACAAGACGAGCACTGTGCAGTGTAAAAGGGCTTTCAGAGGTCAAAGTGGACAAGATTAAAGAAGCTGCAAATAAGCTGATTGTAAGCCAATCACTTTCTTGACAATTTAAATTTATGCTGGCCTCTCTAAATTGCCATGCAGCATTTCTCTACATAGAATCTTCCTCCACATCATCAAGATAATTTTGAAAACAATCCGGCTCACTGTTCTTTATGTTCTTTCTATTTTGCAGCAGCCAGACGAATGTTGTGGTGCTTTTCATACCCAATGTGTGTAAATGAGGCTGTGGTAGACAGAAGCTATCCGGGTGGGATATCCTGCTCTGCCTTCAGCTTGAAGCTCACCAGAATAAACCTCTCACGTTCTCTTTGGTCTTCCTTAGGAGCCAGGCTTCCTAACTGCATTTGAGTACAGTCAAAAACGGAAGATGGTATTTCATATTACTACTGGCAGCCAGGAATTCGAGTAAGCTTACATCTACTTTTCCCTTGCCTTAGCACAACCTGTTCCAATTATATTTATTGTCTTGAATGAGAAACAAAAATATAAAAGAACAAAAAATCAGTTAGGACATGTAGGTTATTTTGCATTTAGAGCTGGTGCTGGCTCAGAGATGCCTGACTCTGTAAGCAATGAAACCAACTCCTTTTCTGAGGGAAACCAGGCAGTCATTGTGAATAAACAGTTTGCAAAACTGTTTATTCACAAAAATCTTGACCATCATTTGATGATCCTGATCACCATTTTTTCACCCCATTAAATAAACAACCTGAAGGTCTACAGTCAAAATTGTTAAGTCTAAGTCTTCCCTTGTCTTCCCTTGAAATACTTGTATGGAACTTTATGTCTTAGAGATGCTTTCTATCTTCTCTTTTCCAGTAATCATTTCTATGCATTTTTCTCTCACATGCAGTAAGGAGGATTGATTTAATATTTTATCACTCAGTGGTCATTTAGTGCCTTGCTATAGGACAAATATAACAAGTCTTGAAGTAGAAAAAAATTCTCTTTTTTCATTTCCTCTTGTGATGTTGTGGCTTTAACTATATCATAATTGTCTGCCTTTCTGCAGCAAACTTCTAGGTGGTGGGATTGAAAGCATGGCAATCACTGAGGCCTTTGGAGGTGAGAAAACTACATTAAATGAGTATTATCAAACAGACAAAGAATAGTTTAGATCGATAGTTTATTTTAAATCAAGCTGGATCACTTCTGCAAAACATCACACCGTAGTCAAAGATGAATACTTGCATGAGTGGAAGAAGAAATAATTCATACATTTTTTCCCTTTTTTCATGCTGAATTGCTTGCAGACTAAGTTTGAGCTGAGTAATCACTAGACTTGAGGGGCATGCTGATTCAGAATGACATACCATTATTAATACTGCTAGTAACTATTTCCTGTTATGGAAAAGATTTCCCTGATGCAATCTCTGTTCCTCTTCAGTAATGGCACAAAAGATATTCTATTTATGTACACTTGGCATGCATTGAATTCCATACAAGATTTTGCAATCAGTTGTTAGAGTAAATTCCATCAGTTAGTGGTTAACACTTCAAAAACAGTAAGAAGAGTGTGGAAAACACAGTAATCTGCTCTTTGGAGAAGATAAATTGGAGACCTGTGTGATTTGATGTCATGAGATTAAAAAACTTCTTGATCATTTAGTTGAAAATACAACTGGGCCTGATCCTGTTTTGGGGGGTCAAAGTGGAACGCAACCACTCATTTTTCCTCCTTCCTCAGTTACTAATTTCCCATCCATGCCTTGTGGTACTTGACTTCTACAGAAAAGTAGAAATAAACACAGCAGTCAAGCAAGACCAGATGAAAGCATTTCATATTTTGCTTTTCATCCAAGATATTTCTACTGCACATAATGTGATTTATATATCAGGATTTAAATGTGCGAATAGAGAAACAGAGGTGAATTTTTGCAGTAACAGAATTTGGCAAACTTGGAAGAAAAGACAAAAAAAAAAAGTAGAAAGTGACTTTTTTTTTCTTTATTTAACAGAGTTTCGGACAGGCAAAACACAGCTGTCTCATACCCTTTGTGGTAAGTGTGCTACCTTAAAACAGGGAGTGTTGGGTTTTTTTCCTTACGACAAATTCAACACATAAAAGCAAGTCAGAATATTCTATCTCTAGAAATATAGTGAAAAAAACGTGGTGACTCTTTCTAATAGATGTGTTTGAATACAGAACTCATGTATATAATTACTTATTAATACTGCTCACACCAGTTTAAGTGTTGCCAGAAGGAGAGAGAAGACCATAAGCCATCTTAGGGAGAAACACACATTACCTGGAAAAGCAAAGCACAAATAGAAGTCACAACGGGGACAGGACCATTGCTCTTGCAAAGGCAAGATTCTTTGTCAGCTTTTAATTTCCTGGGTTCAAGAAGTTTTGCTGACAATGACATTCTGAAAGGACACTGGCAGGATACCACTGGCTAACATGAACTGGTTAAACAAAGACTTGGGCAGTGCCAGGACTCCAATTCCACAGCACTATCTCACAACGTGTAGATAGCAGTCAGTAATAACTACTGTAACCATTACACTTCTAGAATATACTTACAGGACACCAGGTAGACAAACATTCACTTAACTGGACACCGTGGCATAAAGGGAATTGTGGAGCCTGCTGGAAAAATGGAGACTCTTCCATTCAGTGCAACCTAAGTTAGTCAGCAGAGTTATTTCGCCCGAATGATCACAACTGAATGGATTGAGTATTTTAGCTTATTCACTTTAAAGAGGCTAAACTAGTGATTTCCACAGTGATTAAAACCAGTGGCTCTCTGTGATACAGGTAAACAGCCATCATGTTTTATTAAAAATAATAATGTGAGAAAATATTTTTTCCAGCTATTCATTTTACTCTGATTCATTCCAGTGACAGCTCAGCTGCCGGGGCCCGACGGCTACACGGGTGGAAAGATTATCTTCATTGATACTGAAAACACTTTGTATCTTTTGGGTTTCTGAAAGCTACAGGTACCTTGAACTGGAAAGACAGTTCATTTTGTTCTAATTTCAAGCAAGTAGCAGGCTCCAGATGGCTTCACGCATGGGAAACAATATGATGGGCACAGAAAACTTGGAGAGCACAGCATGTAGTGCCCACAGGGCAGTGGCTTTTCCTCTGTCATTTTATCTAATCCAAGCTGGAAAAGTTAGTCAGAATACAGATTTACTTTTAAGTACTTCCCTGGGATTTAACATGCTTTCTTAGTGGTGTCAGATTTTAGAAAGCAGTGAATAAATAAACAGATAGGCAGAGCATGGATGTAACGATAGATGATAGGTGATGTATTTCTCTTTACCTCAAAATAAATTTATCTAAGAGCATGGTTTGTACAGAGAGAAATCCTTAACTCTGCCTGATGTCAGCCGACCAGACCGCCTCCGTGACATTGCTGACCGTTTCAACGTTGACCACGACGCAGTCCTTGACAACGTGCTCTATGCACGTGCATACACGAGTGAGACCCTCACTGCAACTGCTATGATAACTATGATTTTTCTCCAAGGCTTCTGTGTTAATAGTTTTCAGTTACTTAAGTGACACCAGCCCGCTTAAGGAGAGTAAATTACATTTTGTTGCTAACAAAAATGTTACAAGCTAGCTCCTATTTTCTTTTTCTGGTGGCGTACTCCAATAGACTAGCTCAGGGTAAGCATTCCAGCCCAGCTGTGCTATGCAAGGTTCTGCAGTATGCTGCAACATTTCCACCGTGTGTATTATAGTTGTCAGTGTACCATCTTAGTAACAGAAGCAACAGTGAATGTCTGAATGTAAGCTAACTCTATAAATGCAGTCGATAATTCTCTGTAATTTTGTGAATGGACCTTCACAGAAACAGTTTCATGCTCTCTGACAGAAGACACTGCATTAATACTTCAAGTAAATGGGACTTTACATGAACGTAAATAATATGGCTGTACAATTTCTTTGTGTCATTTAATTCAATGTTCATTTCAAACAATTCTGCTGGTTTTCAATTCTCAAAACAAGACTTTTTTGTGGAGCTCTTCACAAAGAAGTGTTGTTGGCTGGGCAAGTGGAAACTGGAACGTGCAGAAACATAAGCACTATTGGGTACTGGAGTAGTAGCTTGTTAATGGGCTTAAAATGCTGGTGGTGAAAATACAAAGAATGCAAGCATTTAAAGTGGAATTTCAAAATTCAGGTTTTTTTTCCTTCAGAGTTCTTTCTGGCCCTAATCTGATTTGTCAGCTCTACTTCCCATCAGGTGAACATCAGATGGAATTGCTTGACTATGTAGCAGCCAAGTTCCACGAGGAAGCTGGTATCTTCAAGCTACTGGTACAAGACTAATTGTTATTTTTCATACACTTGCTGCTTTCAGAATAGTTTGTTGTTGTTGTTTTTCACTGTATTGACTTCTCCAATGCAATTACAATACAGATCATTGACTCCATCATGGCACTCTTCCGTGTGGATTTCAGTGGTCGTGGAGAGCTGGCTGAACGGCAACAGAAACTCGCTCAGATGCTGTCCAGGCTCCAAAAAATATCAGAAGGTAAAGGAAACATTGCAAAATATGGGCAACGTGGATTGGTGTTATTGAAACCAGTATTGAAACAGCAATTGTTGGTGGCATGACCACTAAGTGTAATTATCAAATTAGGTATAATAATACACTAAGTGTATTATCAAATCAGGTGCTGGCCCAGGGATCCTTGCTCACTTTATGCTTCTGTCAGTTACCAAAAAGAAACAGAAGTATATTATTTCAAGGTGACGGATAAAGGAGTCTCTAGAATAATTTAACATTTAGAATTCTCCCAGGATCACTGTTGAAAAGTCCTAAATAGGAGGACAGGTTTTGAAACAGGACAAATTTCCAGCCTTCCCCCAGCTTCTACAGTCTAAATACACAAGAAACGTGGAGAACAGGATAAAAATGGAGAAGGTACAGAGAGAGGAGAAGGCTGTGTTCACTGCCTCGTTCTAATTGCTGCACAATGCTCTGAGGGATGAGGATGGAATGAACAGGAGTCTTCCTTGTTTGGAATGACTCAGAAACACGGATAAAGAATGAGTAAATGTGTTTATGGAGTAAATATCAAAAAAAAGGGGAACACTCGGAGGGAGGGAGAAGAGGCCTAGGGCATGGAGGCCATGGAGAAGATGGGTATTGAGAAAGGCTTCTTCAGCAGGACTCTGAATGAAAAGTGCTCATTTTTGGCATAAATATTACAGCTGACACAAGAGCAAAGTTAGGCTGTCTTCCTGTTAAACCCAGCCAGCAGGCATAAGGAACATTTGCTTCTCTTTCCTTTGAAATTTGAAGCGCCTCAGTAACAACCTTGATCTTACCCTGAAGATGAGGATATTTTTGAAATCTAATTGGATACAGTTCATCTTCTTTGCATTGTTTTCCATTGCAGAATATAACGTGGCTGTGTTTGTGACCAATCAGATGACCGCTGATCCAGGAGCAACTATGACGTACGATACTCACTGCTGCACTTCTAATCTTTGGTTACATATTTGGTTACATGTTTAACAGAGATGAGGACTGAGACTGAGCAAGAGGCATTGACGTGAAGGCACGTCCTCACGTTCTAACTATTTCAGGCTGTCCTTTGGTCTTTCTGGTATCACGAGTCATTCACAGATGACACCTATAGGTTTCTCTCAGTTGTGATCATTTTTTAAAATGATCTGTTTTTCCTGGCTGGCAGGATGATTTCTTTCACTATGTCTTGAGTGAACAGAACAAAACATAACAACTATTGAAGAAAATGCCTAATTGTCTCTTAAAGCAGCGTATACACGTTGTGTAGGGTTTACTTTCTTGAACCTCTTGAATTTGATGAGAGGACGTTGAGCATTGAGCATCCTATCTTGAGGCAGGTGTGTTTAGATCCTCTTTTGAATTTTACCTGTTTATCATTCATTACTGACTTCACTGTGCGTTGCCTGACAGTTAATCTATTAGCCTCTGGAAACTGCATGGTGAATCATCACCTTCTATTCTTTTTTTGTTGTTGCTGGTTTAGCTTTCAGGCAGACCCAAAGAAGCCCGTTGGGGGCCACATCCTTGCTCATGCTTCAACTACCCGAATTAGTTTGAGGAAAGGGAGAGGGGAGCTGCGTATTGCAAAGATATACGACAGGTAAATCTCTGTCCTTTCGCAGGAAAGAAGCTGCTTTATGAACACAGTAGGGTGTCAGAGTTCATTGCGCCGAAACTTAATAGATGTGAACTGATTGGTGGTTTCAAATGAACCATGCATCTGGATGGTATGTTGAGAGGAAATCTGAAAGGACGGAGCAATTGGGAGATTTAGATTAGTAGATTCCAAGCTGTCTTGCATATCATATGTATTACATTGTGTAACCTTTCCTCATAAATCCTGCTAGATGTGCATCTCTCCAAGAAGACTATCGAATCCTAGAATCACAGAATCATAGAACGGCCTGGGTTGAAAAGGACCCCAAAGATCAGCTAGTTTCAAACCCCCTGCTATGTGCAGGGTCACCAACCACCAGACCAGGCTGCCCAGAGCCATGGTTGTCCCTTGGCAGGAACATTCCAGAGCTGTTAAATCACTCAGTTTTGCTGACCTCAGTGGGTATCAATTTACACGCTGAGCTGGGGCAGACGCAGGTATTAAAAAACATATTAGCAGAATTGTGTGGAGAGACCAGTGCTGCCTGGTCAGCAGGATCTGAAACGTGGAAGACAAGTTTGTACAGTCTTCTCCCACACTTCCTCCTTTCCCCTCACTCATGTTTCTCATCTTCACAGAGGTGGGTTTCACGTTTTCCCATCTTGATAACGTCCCATCTCATAAAGATGTTAAAATATTCCACGTTGCTTTTACTTAGAACCTTTGAGAGACCGTTCCATAACTACATTTAACACTCATGGCTTTCTTTTTTTTCCCAGTCCTGAGATGCCTGAAAACGAAGCCACATTTGCAATAACTCCTGGAGGGATTGGAGATGCCAAAGAATAGGCAGAAAACTCATGTACATCAGCTGTACATGCAAACGTACAGCTGATAACCACCAAGGCAGTTAGTTGGGATGAAGATTTGTGCAAGGTTGCTGTCTCCCCGACTGCATTTTTATCTTCTTGGAACAATTTGAGAGGTTTTGGGATAAACTGCGTGCTTCGGTGTTATTCATCTTAACAGAAGTTGGTTCATTTTCAATTGACAATAAATAGCTGATGGAAACGGCAATGGCAGGAGCAAGAGCCCAGGAACTTTGTGGAGTTTCACGTACAGAAGGATGGAAAATTAAAAATGACCTGAAATACTTTCATGTTGACCAGATTATTTATTAATGCACTTTTACTTTTTGGAGAGAATGACCTCAAGTTTACACAATAATAAAGATGTAACATCAGAACAGCATTTGAGCCGTGTTTGGATGCTTTCATTCAGCCCTACTCTCACTCATTTCCCACGGGACAAATAAGCCAGATGCGACCCAACCTTTTGAAACCCGTTTGGGGTACATCAAGCCATTTTCTCCCAGCCAGGAGAAAGCAGACATCATGGCTGCTGTCCCTCCCGTTGCTGCCAGGGCGCTGAGCCCACAACCCCCCGGCAACCTGCGAGGGAGCCCCGGGCCCACCGAACCCGCGCAGCCCACAGCAGCCGCCGCTGGGCCGGGCCCCGCCGCCCCACCAGCGCCGTTGTTGTCTCCTCCACGGGGGCAGCCGGCGCCTGGCCGAACGGCCGTATTCTCTAAGCGCCGCTACGCTGCACGATTAGCGTAATCCTCCGACCCTCCGCCAGCCCTTCCCGCACAGCCCGCGGAAGAATTTTACGCAAAACGGTCGGGCTCTTCCTGCTCTACGTCAGCCTCAGTTACGCAAGGTGCGTACGCCGTGCGCTTACGTAACGTACGCCTCGGCTTAGCTTTTTCCTACCCTCAAGAAGGGGTTACGCTATAGGCTCCTTGCGTAGAAGACTTTGAGGAATAAGAAGAGCGATACTCTCTTTCCTCCCCGCCTCGCGCTGGGGCAGCTGAAGTATAGAACGCTACGCAACTTTCGTATCTCGCTCTCGGTTCGGAGCAGCGTTTCGCCATGAGCGCGTACGACGTAGTTGGCTTCCGGGAATAAGCGTAGGCATTTTCGGGAGCAGCAGTTTGCGCAGCGCCGGGGCGCCCGTAACGTAAGTGAAGCGGGTTGGGGCGGCGGCGGCCATTTTGTGCCGGGAGCACGGAGGAAGAAGACGCGAGCGTCTCCACACTTGACGGGCCCTGGAGCCGACCGAGAGCCCCGCCGTTCCCTCCGCCGACGCTCAGCGGGTCTCTGACCCACTGACCAATTCTTCTGCGTTTGTGTCCCTCCCGAGAGCCGAGGTGGCGCAAAGCGAGTCCTCCGAGACCCAGCCGGCGCTGGCCGGGCCCTCGCCCCGCACCCCCAGCCCTTCGCCGTCACCACGGCCGGCATTCCGATGCCTCTCGCCCACTCCCCCGGGGGCGATGAGGGGCTTCGGGGACCGGGGGCGAGACCGGGACCGCGGCGGGTAAGAGGGCGACGGGGAGGGCCGGGCTGGGGGGCGGGGGGTGATCGGAAGGGGGGGGGGGGGGTGGGCAGAGGGCTTGGGGGACGCGCACCTCAGTTGAAGAGGCTGGGGGCCGGGGGGAAGGGTTGGGAGGGGGGGTTTCTTCTCACATGATCGTGTTGAGGAGCGTGAGGGGGCATTGGGGGAGCGGGTGGGGGGGTGAGGACGGATTTTGCACCTCCGATTTTCACGTTGAGAGGCGTATTGTCACAGTTTCGGCAGGGAGGGGTGGCTTTGTTTTTATTTACTCTTTTTCTTACTGACGTGCCTAGTTTGCAGTTCTAAGGCCTACCTCTTCCTTTTGTCCCCGTATCCTTAATTTATTTTCTCCTTTACCTAACCACCTCTCCCCTCCCTCCTCCCCACCAACCACCAACGGGGGTCTCTGTGGCTCTGGCGCTGCCCTTCGTGCTGTCATTGCTCCTTTGGGGCTCCCTCAGAAGGTGGCAGTTGATGAAGGGCCCTTCTCGTGAGAGGAAATGAGAGTGAAAGCTGCCGCTGGGCTGCCTGCCTTCTCGGGAGGCCAGTGGCTGTAAACATGGCCTGGGCTGTGCTTTGCAGGCACAGCCAAGCTGTGCGTGACCAGCCTTAGCGTGACCAAGCTGATGGAGCAGTCGAATGGGAGCTGTCTGGCTGCTGTGGTTATGGCCTACTGCTCCGTGCTTCCGGTGTTGCTGTTGAAATGATTAAGGAAGGGTTTTGCAGCTTTGACTCCTTCTAAGGGTAGATGATGTTGTAACATATAAATGGTTTGTGACTTGGTTTTCTTTCTGAGGGTTAAAAGCAATAAGGCTCATCCTAGAGAAAGTGAAAACCAGTTTAGGAGAGTGGTGTTTTCCGTCCTTATAGTAGCAAGTAGTTAGGCCTCCATTCTCAACAGTTAACAGTAAATGTACCGTATGATCTGGTCTGCCATATTAAGACTGATTCTCATGTTTTTTGCTCTTATTTTCTCCCTTTTTCTCAGTGGTAGATCGAGGAATATTTTGTTGACGTGTCAAAATCCACTTTAACATTTAGTTTCTCTTCATCTGTGGAGGAAGATAGTCATATTTAGGCTTTATCTTTGCGCCCACATTTCACACTCTGAACTTAAAGCATCCTTTCACTTTTTTTCACAGGGAGGATGGTTGTTTTTTTCCACCAGGAGCTTTCCAGCTGAGCACAACACAAGGACATCAGTGTAAATGCTCTGGCAATCTGAGATAGCTCAGGCCCAGCTGCTTTTGGAGTTTAGAGAGCATGTTTGAGTATGCAGACTTTCTAAGAGTTACCTAAAGTAACACTGTTCAGAGTGTTGTTACAATGCTTAGCATGCATGAAATTTGTGTCCTCATGCTCTGCAGAAGGGCTTTGGTCGTACATTCTTCTGGTTTAGATCAGGGATGTGGTGTAAGAAGCAAGTAAGGAGGAGTGCCTTATTTGTCAGGTTTTTGGACATCTGCATGGAAAATTGTTTCCTTGGCCTATTACACCAGAAGATTTAATGTATCAGGATTCAGCCACCGACAAGCAATTCATAAATAATCCCTCTGACAAAGTGGGGCCACCCGGGATGCTGGGTACAGAAGTTCTTCATCTTCCTAGTGCTGACTTTTCCCTGAGTTAACAAATACAGACTTCCAGTTTTCTTCCTCTGAGGAATGACCTGTAGGTGACTGCTTAGGATAGGCAGCTGTACTGTTTGCTCTGGAATGTAATAAATTCTCTCAGTTCTGTCCCAGAATGTGTGGCATACTTGTGTTAGAGAGGAATGTTCTGGGTCAGTCTGAATTTCTTAGTGAAGTAATCCTAGATTTAAATCAACTTGACTGGAGCTGGAATCAGGTGGTTCCCAGCGGGGTTGCAGGAGTGCAGCAGGGTTCCCTTCCCTCAGGTCAGCGTGCAGCCATATTGCGTATGGGGACGGAGAACTGGAACTGCTGCACTCGTGTCAGAGCACGTGAATCATAATCATAGAATGGCCTGGGTTGAAAAGGACCACGATGATCATCTAGTTTCAACTCCCCTGCTATGTGCAAGGTCAGCAGCCACCAGACCAGGCTGCCCAGAGCCACATCCAGCCTGGCCTTGAATGCCTCCAGGGATGGGGCATCCACAGCCTCCTTGGGCAGCCTGTTCCAGTGCCTCACCGCCCTCTGCGTGTGGATTCTTCCCTCTGGATAGCTGTGGAGCACATAGAGTGCTCAGCTGTTTTGGGGTCCAGTCTTGCAGTCAGCTTTTCCTCTCGCCCTCCAGTAGACTCCAGCAAGGCTCTCTCTGCCTTCTGTTAGAACTGCTGGGTTGCATCAGTAGTTAGCATTTGGACCTCAAGTTAGCATTTGGACCTCAAGTTAGCATGGTCAGCAGCAGGTATCTTCAGCGGAGCAGAATGTTTCTGGAAATGATCTGTACTATTGTTGTTTCTCCTTTGTCCCAGAAGACAACTTAATGCTTCAAAGTGATTTTTGAAATTGTGTTTTGTTATCTTTGCCTGTGACAGAAATGACTGATAACACAGGGTGCTGGTGGGGAACCTGGTGAACATAGGAGGAGAAAATAAGGGGTGTTTATACAAGAGAGAAGAGATGTAATGAAACACTTGCAGCAAAACAAACATTAGAATTTGCATTGCTGGCTGTAAGTTAAATTATATCTGCCAAGCTTTTTCCAACAGTGTAACTCCTTCCTGTTAATATGTTCAGGTTCTTCTTTTTGGTCTCTTAGCCTTTGTCATTTTGTAATTTCCTTTAGGAAGCAGTTTAAAGAGCAAATGTGGCTACTGTCTGAACAGATAGTCCTGTAATTAAGGTAATGCAAGCAGTATTTCAAATCTACTTCAGTTTTATCAGGCTTTCCTCTAGTTACCAGTTAATGAAAACTGCTTTGGGATTTCTGTAGCTTTTGGTTTGTTTTGTTGACTGTAATTTTTCTGGTGGAGTTTTAAAGTAAATAATAATTTATAATGTATCCAGTAAGTAACTGCTTCATACTACTCTAATTCAGTAGCGTTACAGATTTTGGCCAGAAGTTATTGTTTTGTTTACTGCATCCCTGAGTCATAGGAGAGTTCTTAACCTTCTGAAGTGCGTGAAATTAACTGAGTAAATAAAACTTCTGTGAGAGAACAGTAACTTGGCATTGCTTGATGCTTAGGACGTTTTTTAGCAGAGATGTTTGAAAGAAGATCCTTTTTTTTTTTTTTTTTTTCTTTTTCCCCCCCCCCCGGTGGATTTGTTTTGTTTTGTGGTTTTGTTCTGCTGTGGCTGGTTTAAAAAGGGAGGTGTTACTTATTGCCTTGGTTCTAGTGTTGTACACAGACTATCAGGCTTTGCTGACCTTGTTTCCTTTTTGTTCTTTCTTGTTTTGTATTTGAGGCATATGGTTTGATAAGAAAGGGGAGAAGCTGGAGAAGGGAAGAAAGGAAAACAGCAATTGTCTTAATAAAAATTACTCTTGAGATGGAAGGAACTTGTGATTAGAGATTTCTCCCATGCTTTTCATCTATCCATGTTTTAAGTGTAATCTAAGCTTCAGTGAAAAATAAGAGGCACAGCTGTACCAGCAGCTTTGTCCCAGGGAAGGGATCACAGAATGGCCAGGGTTGGAAGGGACCTTAAGGATCCTGACTTTCCAACCCATTTAACACTTGACCAGGCTGCCCAGGGCCTCATCCAACCTGGCCTTGAACACCTCCAGGGACAGGGCACACAACCACAGCCTCTCTGGGCAGCCTGTTCCAGCACTTCACCATTCTCTCTGTAAAGAACTTCCCCCTGACATCCAACCTAAATCTCCCTCAACCATTAAAACCATTTCCCCTTGCCCTGCAGTTATCAACCCTTTCAAA